CCAATGTTGTCCAATGCAGCACCAACTTAAAACAGAATGTCTCATGCCTCCAGTTACATACATAACAAATAAATTAATGCAGAAAATGACATCAATTCCTGTTTAGGCACATTCCCATGGGGATATATATAGAATACTAGACGAGCTCCTGTGTAATATTTTTTTTTTTGAAACGAGTCACGAGTTTCATAAAATTGGTTTACACAGGAGCGAGTTTAGTATTTTATTTATTACTTGCCATTTATAAGGTTTTTAGAATTATACTGTTTAGTATGAACAGGCTGACACCTACACGATCCACGGCATAGTCCAATTAGTTCAACAGAATAATACTCCAAACACGTCAAAAGTTTCAACAAATGAATTTAATACCATACAACGGTCCATCTTAAGAATTCAGGCGTCCGTTCCATAAAATTATCGTAGGGCTAAGACTATCGCAACTCACATACTTTAACCTAGACTAACGACTGTTGTTGTGCTACAATTCGATCGCCTTGTGGAATGGGCCTTGCACCTCAAAGTTTATAATCACGCCACAATACCCAATGATGTAAATTGTGGAATTTTGTTGCAAGATCCATCGGCGAAACAATGCCATGTGACGTCAGCCTAGCAACAAGGTTGCTGGGGTCATCGAGTGTGCATAAGCTCCTCTCAGTGATCTATCAACTCCACACGCATGTCGTTGAATAAGCCAAGGGATGCTTTCAAATTTTTTTTGTGAAATGTGATCCGAGAGTACATACCAAGCAAGCGTTTTGGTATTACACAATGTGTAATACAGCTGTATGTTTATTAAATGGGTGATCTCTTCAGGGGCAAGTAATAAATGAAGAATATCAGGCATAAAGTCTGTCAAATTCAAGCTAAAACCTGAAGCAGCCGTCTTTACAGGGTGCTGTTTACATGACACAGTACACGTACATACAGAGCAAATCAGTCACTAATTACCCAGAAAATGTACAGGCTGAATTGTTTAAGGTACTGCATTACAGTCTAAGGAGACAAAGTTTTCATTCCTCGAAAATAAATGACTTTTCTAAATTTGCAATGTTACCCGCAATGGATGAAATGCGAATTATCTTCTGCATCCATAGCCCATATATAAGCAGTTTAACATGATTATCTCCCCTTCAGGTTGTATATCAGGGGATCAGTATATTCCCTGCTGAAGCTCACCTGGTGAGCAGTGGTTCCCTGGTGAGCCTGTGGTAGAAGACGGGGATGGGGAGGCCCCAGGCCCGCTGTCTCGAGATGCACCAGTACGTCCTGCTGCCTAGCTGCTGCAGCATGCCCTGCTCCGAGTTCGGGGGGTAGATCTGCACGTCCTTCAGGCTCGCCTTAACAAACAGTCAACAAACAACAACAATATTTCATCATTCAAAGAATCTTTTAACTTCCTTAAGTGGCATTTAGAAGTTTGTACAATGAACAGGGGAGACAGTTCTATGGAGATTGTAATAAAGAAATTGCATATCCATAGAACTATCTCCCTTGTTTGAAGACTCTTTTCTCAAGAATAATAAAAGAATACAATATCATTACAATACATTACCAGGGTACTATTTCGCAACACTTCAGATTAGTGCCTGTTTTACTGGAAATACATTTAGTAAAGATATGTAGCTGCAGTAAGAAAACTGCACAGCAATAATATATACTACTTTAAAGAAGTCAAAAACACCCATTTTTCATATGACTACATATTCTGTCATGGCTGGTAGCTATTGCAACGCACAGCCTTTGAATTGTCAGTGTTCTTTAACTTCTTTTGAAAAGCCTAAAGTGATGCAGGCTGCATGTGGATACCCCTGTAGAAACCCATGAGCAATCGGTCAGTCGGTTGCAAGTTCAACTCCAAGCATGGTTGTAGCCTCCCATCACAGTGGGGAGCTTTGACTGGTGGAAGCGATAGTATAGAGAGCTCCGCGAACGGGATAATGCTGTGAGGAGCTTGATCCATACACCTACATGAGTTGAGTTGTTACATCAATTTATACCACTAGGGTGTGTTATGTCTATTGTTTTGATGGGTTGTGAAGTCTTCATAGCGACCCTGCTCATGGAATGTGCTGAGGTTGGATTGGTTGGTTGGTTTGTTGTTTGACGCCGCACTCAGCAATATTAAAGCTATATGACGGTGGTCTGTAAATAATCGAGTCTGGACCATACATCTAGTGATTAATATCATGAGCAATTGGGATTCGATGACATGCATCAACCAAGTCAGCCAGCCTGACCACCCGATTCCTTTAGTCATCTCTTACGACAAGCATAGTCGCCTTTTACAGCAAGCATAGGTTGCTGAAGACCTATTCTACCCCGGATCTTCAGGGTCAGCTGAGGTTGGAAAGATTCAATTCAGACAAGAGGATAGCAAGCCTTGGTTTTACATCCTCACATTAAGCATATCAAGCTCAAGGCCCACATGGTATCAGTTTGTTTTTCACCCCCTCGTGCACTGAAGTCTATATCATCCTTGAAGAGGGCGCTAACGCATACATAACTTGTTTACAGCCTTATCAAAATTCAATTTTATTCCACTTTCATGAAATGGCTACTGTAATCCACTTACCACAGCCCTGTCCCTGAGTTTGGAAGTGTTGACGAACCACTGCTTGCTGGCTCGTATAATCACCGGCTTCTTGGTCCGCCAGTCGTAGGGGTAGCTGTGCACGAACTCCTCCAGGTGTAGGACGTGGGCCCCCAGCTGGCTCAACACTAGGGGGTGGCATAGGGCACTGATGAAAATGTTTAGTGTGCCCTTTGCAATTGAAGCGTGTCAACAAGATGAATACTTTTGATCATATTTGTACTCAGTGAATGCCATTAAAGGCTTGATAGTAAGCAGTTGTAAGAAATATGCACCCTTCCATTTCGTTTAAGTTGATAATATCCTTTCAAATTTCCGAATCCCAAATTTGGGTGAATCATACTACGCGAATGTTGATGGTTCTCCATGTGTTTGTCATGTTTATTTGTGTTTTCATATAACAAACACTGTCACCAGGTATTGGTGTTGTGAAGGATGATTTCTAAGAGTGTCCACCAGGCATTGGGAACTTATGGTAACTGTGCAATTTTGACAATAACTGTGCCATTCTAAATACAAGGAATTTCTAACCCTGGAGTTTTGGTGGGGTAGGCTAGTGGTTAAAGTGTCCACTCATCACACCAAGGACCTGTGTTTGTCCTCCATCCCCCCACCCCCCGTGATGTTGCTGGAATATTGCGAGTGGCGAGAGCCCCAAGTCACTTATTCTAATCCTTCTTATACACATAGAAAAGTCAGACAGAAAAACTAATAAACTAGTGATAGTTTTGATCATCTAATATATAATTACCTGTATCATCTGCATCGTCACCAACAGTTTTACCTGCCAGGTGAGCACCAGCACTGTCCATATACCTGCCCCTCTCATCTACATGACAATCCTGCAACACACAAACACTGTCCATATACCTGCCCCTCTCATCTACATGACAATCCTGCAACACACAAACACTGTCCATATACCTGCCCCTCTCATCTACATGACAATCCTGCAACACACAAACACTGTCCATATACCTGCCCCTCTCATCTACATGACAATCCTGCAACACACAAACACTGTCCATATACCTGCCCCTCTCATCTACATGACAATCCTGCAACACACAAACACTGTCCATATACCTGCCCCTCTCATCTACATGACAATCCTGCAACACATAAACACTGTCCATTTACCTGCCTCTCAATTCTACATGACAATCCTGCAACACACAAACACTGTCCATATACCTGCCTCTCAATTCTACATGACAATCCTGCAACACACAAACACTGTCCATATACCTGCCCCTCTCATCTACATGACAATCCTGCAACACATAAACACAGTCCATATACCTGCCTCTCTCATCTACATGACAATCCTGCAACACACAAACACTGTCCATATACCTGCCCCTCTCATCTACATGACAATCCTGCAACACATAAACACAGTCCATATACCTGCCTCTCTCATCTACATGACAATCCTGCAACACATAAACACTGTCCATTTACCTGCATCTCTCATCTACATGACAATCCTGCAACACACAAACACTGTCCATATACCTGCCTCTCTCATCTACATGACAATCCTGAAACACACTGTCCATATATCTGCCTCTCTCATCTACATGACAATCCTGCAACACACAAACACTGTCCATATACCTGCCTCTCTCATCTACATGACAATCCTGCAACACACAAACACAGTCCATATACCTGCCTCTCTCATCTACATGCAACACACTGTCCATATACCTGCCTCTCTCATCTACATGACAATCCTGCAACACACAAACACTGTCCATATACCTGCCTCTCTCATCTACATGACAATCCTGCAACACACAAACACTGTCCATATACCTGCCTCTCTCATCAACATGACAATCCTGCAACACACAAACACTGTCCATATACCTGCCTCTCTCATCTACATGACAATCCTGCAACACACAAACACAGTCCATATACCTGCCTCTCTCATCTATATGACAATCCTGCAACACACAAACACTGTCCATATACCTGCCTCTCTCATCTACATGACAATCCTGCAACACACTGTCCATATACCTGCCTCTCTCATCTACATGACAATCCTGCAACACACAAACACTGTCCATATACCTGCCCCTCTCATCTACATGACAATCCTGCAACACACAAACACTGTCCATATACCTGCCTCTCTCATCTACATGACAATCCTGCAACACACAAACACTGTCTGTATACCTGCCTCTCTCATCTACATGACAATCCTGCAACACACAAACACTGTCCATAGACCTGCCTCTCTCATCTACATGACAATCCTGCAACACACAAACACTGTCTGTATACCTGCCTCTCTCATCTACATGACAATCCTGCAACACACAAACACTGTCCATATACCTGCCTCTCTCATCTACATGACAATCCTGCAACACACAAACACAGTCCATATACCTGCCTCTCTCATCTATATGACAATCCTGCAACACACAAACACTGTCCATATACCTGCCTCTCTCATCTACATGACAATCCTGCAACACACAAACACTGTCCATATACCTGCCTCTCTCATCAACATGACAATCCTGCAACACACAAACACTGTCCATATACCTGCCTCTCTCATCTACATGACAATCCTGCAACACACAAACACTGTCCATATACCTGCCTCTCTCATCTATATGACAATCCTGCAACACACAAACACTGTCCATATACCTGCCTCTCTCATCTACATGACAATCCTGCAACACACTGTCCATATACCTGCCTCTCTCATCTACATGACAATCCTGCAACACACAAACACTGTCCATATACCTGCCCCTCTCATCTACATGACAATCCTGCAACACACAAACACTGTCCATATACCTGCCTCTCTCATCTACATGACAATCCTGCAACACACAAACACTGTCTGTATACCTGCCTCTCTCATCTACATGACAATCCTGCAACACACAAACACTGTCCATAGACCTGCCTCTCTCATCTACATGACAATCCTGCAACACACAAACACTGTCTGTATACCTGCCTCTCTCATCTACATGACAATCCTGCAACACACAAACACTGTCCATATACCTGCCTCTCTCATCTACATGACAATCCTGCAACACACAAACACAGTTCATATACCTGCCTCTCTCATCTATATGACAATCCTGCAACACACAAACACTGTCCATATACCTGCCTCTCTCATCTACATGACAATCCTGCAACACACTGTCCATATACCTGCCTCTCTCATCTACATGACAATCCTGCAACATACAGTCCATATACCTGCCCCTCTCATCTACATGACAATCCTGCAACACACACAGTCCATATACCTGCCTCTTTCATCTACATGACAATCCTGCAACATACAAACACTGTCCATATACCTGCCCCTCTCATCTACATGACACTCCTGCAACACACAAACGCTATGCTCATGTCATATTAACATGATAAAGGACACATTTTTTTCAACGCCACTCCAAATGATGCTTATACACTAAACTGCAAAATCCATGCAAGAATTAAAAGGATGGGGTATGATTCTAACGGGGATCGTTTATGCTCATGGATAATTGCAAATTGAAAACAGCATTAAACAACATTCATTCACACTTCAATTACATTGATATGGTTTCCTTGAGTTTACAATGCAATTATATGTAGAGTGAGCGAGTGAGTTGCGTTTAATGACGCTTTGAACAGCACTCCAGTTATATCACAGCGTGTCAGCTGGACGTGAGCGTAAAGCCCCAAGTGATGCAGGTCTCAGAAGTTTACCACTTCGGTGAAACAAGAACGGGTGTGGTGCTGACAGACCTAGACACATAATCAGGGCGAACCGGGATTCGAACCCACAATCATAGGTTTCCGGGGAGATCAAGGGATGCAACTCTGCACGGTGAATTGTGGTGCCTTAGACGACTGGGCCAACTCCCATTAGGACATGACTCATACAAACATAGAGCTATATTTAGATCCTTAGATCAAGTTTGTAGTGATCACGCAACTCAGGCTGAAATAAATGATTATTGCAAAATATTTCGGGATGAACACAAAGATGAGCAATGATCACTGCCCCCTGCAACGTAGTCCGAAGTAATCCTTACTACAGGGAGGCCATATTTGACAGCTAGCTGGAAGTCTTCATGGCCATGAGCTGGTGCTGTGTGGACCAATCCCGTTCCCTTCCCACTGGTCACATGACTTCCTGCCAACAGTGGGAGCTTCCGCTCGGTCAAGGGATGTGTGTAGATGGAGTTTTTCAACACCTCTCCTGCAAAGGTATCATATGAAACAATACTTGAGGGATTAGATTCTTGCTAGTTTTTATATTACGATGATCTTCAATCTAAAAGCAGATGACTAGCTCAGGGAACACTTTTCGTAATTTTGGCTTACAGATTTAATCAACCACAGCAAAAAAAACACAATCAGTAAAATAAACAAAAACAGTTCACATTTTATTTAATTTGTCCAATCATACCACCTTTGATGGATTAGAAAAGCAATCAGAAACAAAATTCCAACAAAGGTATAACAACTATGTATTAATATTTTCAATAATATTTTATCAAACACATTGTAGGATGTCTTTAGCCGTAAACCCCTTACAAAGAAAATAGGTGGGTGGACACCATGGATTTCAACTACGTTATTCTTCAAATAAAACATTTTGACATGATGGGGGTACTAGTAATGATAAACCATAATACAATCCCGTCTTAACTAATACTACAGCTTCTAATTGCAGCTTCAAAGAGAAACTGATTATTAAGATAAAAAACAAATCAGATTTTTAATCAATAAATAGTTATGGAGTAGAAGATCCGGGGTAGAATAGGTCTTCAGCAACCCATGCTTGCCTTAAAAGGTGACTATGCTTGTCATAAAAGGCGACTAACGGGATCGGGTGGTCAGGTTCGCTGACTTGGTTGATGCATGTCATCGTCTCCCAATTGCATGGATCGATGCTCATGATGTCAATCACTGGATTGTCTGGTCCAGACTTGATTATTTACAGACCACTGTCATATAGTTGGAATATTGCTGACTGTAGCGTTAAACAACAAACAAACAAACAAACAAACCCTACTGCTAAAGTGGCCATTACTCCACACAGAGCCAGTGTTTACCTTGTACGGAGCCTACACGATCTGACCTATGTTATTTCCTCCTGCTAAAGTGGCCATTACTCCACACAGAGCCAGTGTTTACCTTGTACGGAGCCTACACGATCTGACCTATGTTATTTCCTACTGCTAAAGTGGCCATTACTCCACACAGAGCCAGTGTTTACCTTGTACGGAGCCTACACGATCTGACCTATGTTATTTCCTATTGCTAAAGTAGCCATTACTCCACACAGAGCCAGTGTTTACCTTGTACGGAGCCTACACGATCTGACCTATGTTATTTCATACTGCTAAAGTGGCCATTACTCCACACAGAGCCAGTGTTTACCTTGTACGGAGCCAACACGATCTGACCTATGTTATTTCCTACTGCTAAAGTAGCCATTACTCCACACAGAGCCAGTGTTTACCTTGTACGGAGCCTACACGATCTGACCTATGTTATTTCCTATTGCTAAAGTAGCCATTACTCCACACAGAGCCAGTGTTTACCTTGTACGGAGCCAACACGATCTGACCTATGTTATTTCCTACTGCTAAAGTAGCCATTACTCCACACAGAGCCAGTGTTTACCTTGTACGGAGCCAACACGATCTGACCTATGTTATTTCCTATTGCTAAAGTGGCCATTACTCCACACAGAGCCAGTGTTTACCTTGTACGGAGCCTACACGATCTGACCTATGTTATTTCCTACTGCTAAAGTAGCCATTACTCCACACAGAGCCAGTGTTTACCTTGTACGGAGCCAACACGATCTGACCTATGTTATTTCCTACTGCTAAAGTGGCCATTACTCCACACAGAGCCAGTGTTTACCTTGTACGGAGCCTACACGATCTGACCTATGTTATTTCCTACTGCTAAAGTGGCCATTACTCCACACAGAGCCAGTGTTTACCTTGTACGGAGCCAACACGATCTGACCTATGTTATTTCCTACTGCTAAAGTAGCCATTACTCCACACAGAGCCAGTGTTTACCTTGTACGGAGCCAACACGATCTGACCTATGTTATTTCCTATTGCTAAAGTGGCCATTACTCCACACAGAGCCAGTGTTTACCTTGTACGGAGCCTACACGATCTGACCTATGTTATTTCCTACTGCTAAAGTAGCCATTACTCCACACAGAGCCAGTGTTTACCTTGTACGGAGCCAACACGATCTGACCTATGTTATTTCCTACTGCTAAAGTGGCCATTACTCCACACAGAGCCAGTGTTTACCTTGTACGGAGCCTACACGATCTGACCTATGTTATTTCCTACTGCTAAAGTAGCCATTACTCCACACAGAGCCAGTGTTTACCTTGTACGGAGCCTACACGATCTGACCTATGTTATTTCCTACTGCTAAAGTAGCCATTACTCCACACAGAGCCAGTGTTTACCTTGTACGGAGCCAACACGATCTGACCTATGTTATTTCCTACTGCTAAAGTGGCCATTACTCCACACAGAGCCAGTGTTTACCTTGTACGGAGCCTACACGATCTGACCTATGTTATTTCCTACTGCTAAAGTGGCCATTACTCCACACAGAGCCAGTGTTTACCTTGTACGGAGCCTACACGATCTGACCTATGTTATTTCCTACTGCTAAAGTGGCCATTACTCCACACAGAGCCAAAGTTTACCTTGTACGGAGCCAACACGATCTGACCTATGTTATTTCCTACTGCTAAAGTGGCCATTACTCCACACAGAGCCAAAGTTTACCTTGTACGGAGCCTACACGATCTGACCTATGTTATTTCATACTGCTAAAGTAGCCATTACTCCACACAGAGCCAGTGTTTACCTTGTACGGAGCCTACACGATCTGACCTATGTTATTTCCTACTGCTAAAGTAGCCATTACTCCACACAGAGCCAGTGTTTACCTTGTACGGAGCCTACACGATCTGACCTATGTTATTTCATACTGCTAAAGTAGCCATTACTCCACACAGAGCCAGTGTTTACCTTGTACGGAGCCTACACGATCTGACCTATGTTATTTCATACTGCTAAAGTAGCCATTACTCCACACAGAGCCAGTGTTTACCTTGTACGGAGCCTACACGATCTGACCTATGTTATTTCCTACTGCTAAAGTAGCCATTACTCCACACAGAGCCAGTGTTTACCTTGTACGGAGCCTACACGATCTGACCTATGTTATTTCATACTGCTAAAGTAGCCATTACTCCACACAGAGCCAGTGTTTACCTTGTACGGAGCCTACACGATCTGACCTATGTTATTTCCTACTGCTAAAGTAGCCATTACTCCACACAGAGCCAGTGTTTACCTTGTACGGAGCCTACACGATCTGACCTATGTTATTTCATACTGCTAAAGTAGCCATTACTCCACACAGAGCCAGTGTTTACCTTGTACGGAGCCTACACGATCTGACCTATGTTATTTCCTACTGCTAAAGTGGCCATTACTCCACACAGAGCCAACGTTTACCGTGTACGGAGCCTACACGATCTGACCTATGTTATTTCCTCCTGCTAAAGTGGCCATTACTCCACAAAGAGCCAGTGTTTACCTTGTACGGAGCCTACAGGCTGGAACGTGTCCGGGAGGAAGGATCGGAGTTTCTCACTGAACTGTTCCTCACACAGGATTGCCTCCCCTGCACTGCCATCCTTCCATACCGTGTAGCTGTTATACAAAAAGTCTTCATGGTAAGTGTCCTTCTACGGCAATCATGTACATCTCACTGTTGACACTTTATGAAATTATCATCACAAATTCACAAGTCACAGAGGTAAACTTTTGTGTGTGAATGTGACAATACGAGTTCTTGTGACCACCATGGAAGACACAGATTGGTAGGTCAAAGTGCACACAGGGTCAGACTGTTCACTGACAACTGATGACATGACGTTCAACTGGTATGGATTTTAATCAATCTGCTAACGTTTTTTGATTCAAAAATGTGTCTAGCAAATCAAATAGCTAGATTTTATTCCAGATGTTGTCTTGCAAATCAAATAGCTAGATTTTATTCCAGATGTTGTCTAGCAAATCAAATAGCTAGATTTTATTCCAGATGTTGTCTAGCAAATCAAATAGCTAGATTTTATTCCAGATGTTGTCTAGCAACTCAGATAGCTAGATTTTATTCCAGATGTTGTCTAGCAACCCAGATAGCTAGATTTTATTCCAGATGTTGTCTAGCAACCCAGATAGCTAGATTTTATTCCAGATGTTGCCTGGCAACCCAGATAGCTAGATTTTAGAGTTATAATGTCTAATACACACCGAATATCTTTGCCATAGCAGATTGCTTGGTTGAAGGGAAGCGTCCAGGGTGTTGTTGTCCACACTATGGCCGATACTTTACATTCTGATCCTGACAAAACAAACATCAAACAAAAAAGTATACATTAACATGTGGAACATGTGAATACATGCGACTAAAAAGCAATAAAAACTTCATCCGTGCAAGTTTATACAGGTTTGAAAGTAAATGCTCACCGACACATTGAGTTATCTCCCCTGGGACACTGACCAATGGGAACTTGACATACACAGATCTGCTGACATGCTGGTCATTGTACTCAAGTTCTGCCTCTGCCAGAGCGGTTCTGTAATGACAAATCCACAGGCACTGTTTTCTCATCTATCCACTGAATGTTTTTCACAATTGTGACACAGGCATGAATTAATGTCAGAGGTGAGAAATATATTAAAAAATTCAAATACCCTAATACAATCTGAGAATACAAATACAATGCTCATCTTGCAACTACTGATAATCTGGACGATGAATATTTCATCATATTCATTATGACTAAAGTTTGGATCTATGAAAATAATACATTTTCAGCAAGGGGCAACAGTCATAATATCTTGACTCAACTCATTTTAATGGAAGGCATTGTCACGATAAGGACGAAATATTGCCAATGTGATGATAAATATTACCTCACTCATTCATTCACTAACGGAAACTAATGCTTGGTACAATGTACCTTGACGATGGAGACCAATAGACTGGCATATAGTCTTCATAAATCAGACCCTGAAAGCAAGTAAAAACACATGTTAACTGAAATGTCTGATCTTTGCATGTTAAAGAGATGGTTACCACTGCAACAAAAAGCAGTATTTCTCCCCCCCCCCCCCCCCCCACCCAAAAAAAAATGAAAGGTGCTGAGAAAATCTTTTTTTTGTAACATACAGTAAGGCCAAAAAAAGTTGTTTTCCAAAATTGTGTCACTTTTTAGCAACCCCCACACCCTATGTTTGTTTTCTTGCGTTTGCTCAAACATTTTCCCCTTGAAGAAAAGGGTAGCATTTTTCCTTTAAAGCAAAAGGGGAGCATTTTCCCTTTAAAGTAAAAGGGCAGCATTTTCCCTTTAAAGTAAAAGGGTAGCGTTTTCCCCTTGAAGCAAAAGGGTAGCATTTTCCCCTTGAAGCAAAAGGGTTGCATTTTCCCTTAAAGTAAAAGGGTAGCATTTTCCCTTTAAAGTAAAAGGGTAGCATTTTCCCTTTAAAGTAAAAGGGTAGCGTTTTCTCCTTAAAGTAAAAGGGCAGCATTTTCCCTTTAAAGTAAAAGGGTAGCGTTTTCCCCTTGAAGCAAATGGGTAGCATTTTCCCCTTGAAGCAAAAGGGTTGCATTTTCCCTTAAAGTAAAAGGGTAGCATTTTCCCTTTAAAGTAAAAGGGTAGCATTTTGTCCTTAAAGCAAAAGGGTAGCATTTTCCCCTTAAAGTAAAAGGGTAGCATTTTCCCTTTAAAGTAAAAGGATAGCATTTTCCCCTTAAAGTAAAAGGGTAGTGTTTTCTCCTTAAAGTAAAAGGGTAGCATTTTCTCCTTAAAGTAAAAGGATAGCATTTTCCCCTTAAAGCAAAAGGGTAGCATTTTCTCCTTTAAGTAAAAGGGTAGAATTTTCTCCTTAAAGTAAAAGGGTAGCATTTTCCCCTTGAAGCAAAGGGGTAGCATTTTCCCTTTAAAGTAAAAAAATAGCATTTTTCCCTGGAAGCAAAAGGGTACCATTTTCCCCTGAAGCAAATGGGTACCATTTTCCCCTTAAAGTAAACTAATAGCATTTTCTCCTTAAAGTAAAAGGGTAGCATTTCCCCCTGGAAGCAAAAGGGTAGCATTTTCCCCTTAAAGTAAAAAGATAGCATTTTCCCCTTAAAAAGAATTAACCCCAAAAGGTGGGTACATCAAATGAGGTAAAAACTTAAGTCGTTGATTTTCTGTAGTTCAAAAAGTGATGTTTAGTTTTCAGCAGAGACCATATAATAGAGGGACGGCCCTCTAGCCTATGCGCGAAACCATCAGTGCTACGGCTTGTACTGCGCAGCCTGTCCGGAAGCGAACAGAAACGCGTTAACTGCAGTCATCGCTGTCGCCTTTTTTTCCCATGCAAAAGATATATTTTACAAAACAAAATTACACTCATGTATTTCTTAACATTGTTAACATTACAACTGAGATTTGTTGGTGCCCTAAAGCATGTCGTTGTCACTGTATTTGATGACTGTGATCACGCTTTGTCTTTGTCCGAGAGAACAAAATGGCGCACATGTTAAATCGGCAAAAGTGCAGATTTTGATTTTCAATAACGTCCTCTAATTCGCAATGAAAGTCCTTGGTTACCAAGGTGTATAAAAAGGATATATGTTAAAAATTGGCTTAGTGCCATTTACAAATTTAGGGCGGATGCGATATTTCAGATTTTGACTCCAGAAATGGGACTAAATCTGACTTTTCCCGAAATAATTACACCACAACTCTTAATTTCCGCATGCTTTCAGACGAATGTGTTCCTATCATCGGTCCTGAATTAAATAGTTTTACATTCATCACGATTTCCCCTTTGGCTTGGTACCAAAGTTATTTAGGTACGATCGGTAGTTTTTTTTGTATGATTTTTGGCGCAAGGCCATATTTTACGTCACATATTTTAAATTAAATTACCATATAGCAGACGAAATAACATGCATTTTGTCTGTGATTATCATCCGCATATATCTTTTGAAACATTATACAAAGTGACTTATATTGTATGATATTAGAATTGTTTTTGTAAGACGCGTATTTTTTTTACCATTGCTTTCGCCATTTTTTCGTAAGTTTAACTTTGTTTCAGTTATAGGCTGCTATCACATATCGCGCATATACTACATACTACAATACTACATATTTGTTATCTTCTGAAGATTTTGTCTGTATTAATCATGACTACATTTAATCAATTATTTATTTTATGCCGTGTAAATATTGATACTAGGTACTACTGGTACTACTTACTTTGTGTATTTACACAACAATGAAAACATCATACAAAAAAAAAAATCCGTTACATGAAATATTTGTATTATAAAATTATCATTTGCTTTGTAAATGCCAAGAAAAAAGAAGGATTATATCGGCAGTCGTCGGGAGAGAAGTTCCAGACAACAAGGTCGAAGGTGTCAAACTTATCTCGCTCCGGCAAACCCTATTATCACTGCTAGCCCCAAACTGGCATTAACCAATAACATTTGATTCTTTCGAAGCCCATTGTCAGACACATCGAAAATTCATTTAACAACGCTCGTAGTTTAATGTGTGTATTTTTAATTCATTGGAACTATTAGCATTATAAAATAGTAGCGAATTTACATGAAATAAAAACATTAATATGGCGTCATTTTTTTTCTGGCTAATAGTAAAGCATTTACACCAGTCGGTGATCATGCATTTTTGCAAGTAAATCTAGTCTGGACTTATTATAAGATATGAAGTTAATCTGGAGATATATTTTGTGAACATCGGGAATATGGTGATATGTTACAAGTGTCTTCCCTGCTTCTGAATGAGTTTTATTTACACTTCCTGAGTTCCTGTGCAATTTACCGGATCGTAGTTTTCTGTGGCGTTCGTAGTAGATTTGGTATATTTGTTTATTTATAATATTTAACAATTGCAGCATAATATGAGATATGTAAATTGAAATAAATGTCCCGGAAGACACACATGTTCAGCAAATAATTTGCAGCCAACTGACATGTGCTAATGAGAGATATCATACAAAAATCTTTGTAATCCGCTAAGAGACGTCCTTTTATTGGATTGTCGCTGGTCGTAGTCGGAGAAATCTCCGCTAAGGGAATTAACTCTTACCCCGGATATTATGTTATTATATTATTAGGTTACCAGAATGGCCAGTCGTGAATGTCTGCGCATCTATTGCGCATCTGCAGCGGTACAGGGAGGTTAACAGCAGGGTGTCGGGGTGTATCAGTTACATGCCAGGCCGTAGCGCTGATGGTTAGTGATAAACTGTTGGTGAGGGCCGTCCCTCTATTATATGGTCTCTGTTTTCAGTAATAATATTTGTGTAACCTAACGAAAAAGTAAGAAAAGTGGTCACCTGATCAAATGCAAAATATTAACAAAAATTAAGGTTCTTTAACCAAACATAAGCTCAACATAAGTATTAAGAGGAGATACAAGACTTAAGAACTTACTTTTTCATACATATCAAAGAAAGCTTCCCACTGGTTGACTTGGTAGTCCCGGTCTAGTGTAGTGTAGCATCTGCCCCAGTCCGCCATCACACCCCAGCGTTTGAAACTCTCTTTCTGCACACTGATGGTTTCACGGGCAAATGTTTCAGCTGAGGTACACAACAAGTGAGTATATCAGTTATGTCTTGGTGTGTCAACTTAAGGTGAGACAAAGGCCCAAGTGATGAAGACTGTATGTAGCCCATGAGTACTGGTATGGTGTAGCATATTTTTGTTCTCCCAAATTTAGTTCCGACCCAGAAAAAATATCAGGATTAAATACATAAAATTGCAGTGAAAAGTTCCGACCCTGTAGTGAAAAGTTCTGGTCGACAGGAATATAGTTTGGGTGTGTTTATGAGAGATGTTCTTGTATATTGTTAACATGCATCATGAAAAACAGGGAAACTAAGACATACAATCCCCAATCTCATTAAAATCAGATCTTTATTTAGCGGTAGCGAGAACTAAGATCTGATTTTAATGAGATTGTACAATCCCAATACAAATAAACATAATCTAAAATGTTATGGAGCATTTATTCCGACTTGAACAAATGTATTAGAAGTATTTGTTCCATTATACCATTATACATGCTTAAAAACAAAACCAAAAACAAAATAACCAAGCCCAGTTTTTTAACATAGCCCCATCACAAAATCCCCCTTTTAGACACTTGACAGTTTCACAAGGTAGAACATATGTGTGTGTAAGTTCCTGTATGATTGGAACAAATGTCAGTGTGAACCAAAACTTTACGCGAAATGGATCTCCAAAGGAAGTGAGGTGAAATTGGGTTTAACGTCGCGTCCAAGATTATTGCACTTATATAACGACGTGCATGCACGTGTGTGTGTGTGGCTGCTTGTACTAGTCCGGACTGATGCCGATTTATAGTACTAGCTCACTGAGATACCATGCCGCAGGTCAACATGATTACCCCACTCAGATACAGTATACTGACTCCGAGCCGCCCAGTCCTTGTTTTAGCCCCTTAATGTCGAGCGCCAGACAGGGTAACAACAAGTACCATCTTTTAACTTCTTTTGGTATCACGCGACCGGGGATCAAACCCCGGACCTCCCACTCTCCGGGCGGACGCTCTACCACAAGACCACGGAGGCGGTCGATCTCCAAAGAACAAATGTTGGTTGTAAAAGTTCAGCTGGAACTTTTATACACATGGAACCAAATCTTGTTTACAATGCTGTCTGACCACTGATCATCACTGGGCCAAATCTGGAAGTCCAAGGAAATAGAGATGATTGTAACCTTACCTTTTTTGCGAATTTCAAGGGGAGATAATTCCTTTTGATGGTTCACAGCTTTAAGTTCAATGGGTAAGCCATGACAATCCCAACCAGGCACATAGTGTACTTTGTAACCTTGCATCAGTTTGAAGCGATTAGTTATGTCTTTCAGTATCTAGAAAGGAAGCATTCTGAATATAATAGGGACAAACTCAATACAAAGGAAGGAGTGAAATAAAGACTCTCTCTGGTCCACCAAAATCATGGAAAATGTCAAATTTTGAAGCTATCAGAAATGTTCCAATGGCTGACAACAAACATTTTTTACTTTCTTACAAATTAATGTTTTGCACTTCAGGCATGATTAGGTTCAGAAAAATGGCAAGAATTTGAGACAACGATTGTTTTTTGTTCTTGAAGAGAAACTATGAACCATGAACAAGTGTGTGACCCAAGAAAATCAGTCAACAACTTGCTGATCATGACAAAGTACTTAATATCAATTTTCATGTCAAACTTCACCTTAAATTTAACAATCTGTTACCATGGTTTCACTTTTAGATGTCACATTACACAACTGATGGTGAATAGTTACTAACAACCTTTAACTAGTTGAAACTGTTAATGGTAATTGGTCCTCATGTATTAAAAGTTGTTCGGAAATTCTTCAGATTGCTATACCTTGTTGACTGCGTGCCCAACATGTGGTTTTCCATTTGCGTATGGGGGACCATCATGGAGGACGAAGTTCGCTTCTCTATCTTGTTCTTGCTGCCATTGGTATAACTTGTCAAACGCACATGTCTACAAAAAGAAAATAGACTGCAACGAGGAGTCAATGTGAAGCTGTCAGACAAGTGAGTGAGTGAGTGAGTGAGTTGGGTTTAACGCCACTTTTAACAGTATTCCAGTTATATCACGGTGTGTCAGCTTAATGTGGGAGGAAAGCCCGAAGTGATGCAGGTCTCAGACATTTACCACTTCAGTGAAACCCACGAGCACGGGCATGGTGCTGACAAACCTAGAAACACAAGTATTTGTAACAAAGTGGTGAAATGTCCCCCGCCTGTATATACACCATAGTACCAAATATGAAGACAATCCAGCGATTAGTTCTTGAGATATTGCGGCAACACCGTTTTCCAACTCCAAAAGCAGATTTGCCTGCTGTGACCTTGAAAATGGGGTCAAGGTCACCAAAACCGACTGGTGTCTGCGGTGTCTGTATATACACCATTGTTCCAAATATGAAGACAATCCAGCGATTAGTTCTTGAGATATCGCGGCAACAAACAGGTGGGACGTACGGATGGACGGACGGACGGTCGTGAATACTATATCCCCCGCTCCGCGCTTTCGCGCGGCGGGGGACAATAATCGGGGCGAACTGGGATTTGAACCCACAATCATAGGTTTTTGGCGTGTCCAGGGGCCCAACTCTGCACAGCAAATCGCGGCGCCTTAGACGACTGGGCCACCTGTGCCCTCATCAGACGAGTGAAACCACATGCTAACACTGTTGCAAGAGCTGCAGATTTTACTCTTTTACAGTGACATGAAGATATTTATTTGTTTTGTTAGTTTGTTTGTTTGTTGATTAAGGCCGCACTCAGCAATATTCCAGCTATATGACAGCGGTCTGGACCAGACATTCCAGTGATTAATATCATGAGCATCGATCCTTGCAATTAAAATTGATGACATGCATTAACCAAGTCAGCGAGTCTGACCACCCGGTCCTGTTTGTCGCCTCTTACAACAAGCATAGTCACCTTTTACGGCAAGCATGGGTTGCTGAAGACCTACTCTACCCCGGATCTTCACGGGGCAGATATTTATTTACTCTTAATAAGTATTGGTTTCTTCATAAGAGGATTCAATCAAACAGTTAATTCACAACAGTCTCCTGATTCAGATTACATGATTAAATGTATCAAGGGCTTTGAGATTTTGAATGTTGATCAGTGACAAACTCTGATGAGTGTTTTGATTGGTTTGATTTCAAGCTGATGAGCGAGAGAAATTCTGCGCTGAATTAGTGGTAAAAGAGATAGACATGGTGACGTCCCTTTCAAAACCAGGTAATGATGACAGAAGCGACCAGGGCATTTATCACAAGAATTGGAGACATAATACTTTTCACAACTGAGGATGATTACAGAAGTTTGGACAAACATATACAGTTTGACCTATTTCAGTACTGGGATGAAGCCCCCACTAATTAAAACACCATAGAACAAGTTTAGTGGTGTCATCTTCTTTTGCCTACAGTGTTATTTAAACAGATTATACACCAGTGATCCCCGGCTAACAGGCTAATCCTGTTAGAATTACACTCACTACCATGAAAAGTGAGTGAGTATGGTTTTACTCCGCTTTTAGCAATATTCCAGCAATATCACGGCTGGGAACACCATATATGGGCTTCACACATTGTACCCATATGGGAAATCGAACTCAGGTCTTCGGCGAGATGAGCGAACGCTTTTGCTGTGCAAAGAAAAACATTATTTTCTCTATGAACCAAAATAGCAGTGGTTGTTCTAATGATAAATGGAGGTAGACAAGTTTGTGTGTTTGTTTCTTGTTTGTAGACAAGGAGTTTGGTTTGAGATCAGCATTTTGTTTTTGAGCTTGATTATTTATTCAAGATCTAACACATAAACAGGTGCTCAATTTCTTTAAGTAAATAAAATTAACCAACTGAATTCTTTTGACACATCTGCAATAAAAGGGGCACATTATTTTTTCTCTACAAAGCAAGGCATCTGTAAAAAGAATTCAGTAAAACAGTGGCCTGAAATTCTTCACCCATCCCGAAAATCGAATGGGTTGCTCTTTGGGCTTGGACGAATAACTTGAATTGGGTGGGTCCTGATTAGGACCCAGGTAACCACAGGACTTCCTGAACCTGTGGTTAGTCACGTATTATATTGTCTAAATACAATAACAACAAAAGTCGCTTATGTTTGCATTTCTTTCTGACTATGCACATAGTTTCTAACTTTTATACGTTTGAGTAAAGAAACAACTTCAGTTGACTTCAGTGTATGCATGTTCAGATTGGACATAATGTACCAAACTGAGACCTTCAGTGGGTACCCGGGCAGGGTCGGGTAATTGGGGTTTAATAGTGATGAAGGGGTCGTCGGCACAGGTACTACAGATATGTACCCCAGGTACGTTTCTGTAAACAGTAATGTAACCAAGCCACATTCAGTAACCGGTACCCTAAACCGAGGACGAGTCCCCATTCCTCCACCCGAAACCCATCTTCCCAAGGCAAGAGTGTTAACTGACTATAAAAGTCCAGTTTCCACCCTTGCCGAACTAAGCTGGTATTATGGAGTAAGATTTTGGCTGGACTAACGAGTCTATTCATAGTCCAATCAAAATCGCGCAACGAAATTGAAATCCCTTTCGTAAACTGTCATGCAGATTTCGGTCGACTGCAGGATTTGCCCAGCATGGGCACTACTAACCATGCTAACTCGTTGTCAACAGATATTTTCCAAATCTTTTCAAGATTTTAATCAAGTTGCTCACGTGATTTGATGCAGTTCGCGATGTAAGACCCGTTTTCTCACAATATAGATCTTGACTGTCCATCAGATCGTCTTGACTGGGCGCCACCATTTTGTTTGAAGCAAATGCAAGTGATACGAGAGGTGGAATCTGATTGGTCCATAGGAGAGGCATAGAAGGGATTTAACTCGTAACAGCCACTGGTGGCGCTACGATCGAGCCCAGGAATTCCAGCCTAGTTCGACAAGGGTGGAAACTGGACATTTAAAGTCAGTTAACTCCCTTGCCTCGGGAAGATGCCCGAAACCGAAACTGGTTCATGTTGTAGTTCTGGCTGTGCATCGTGGAATATTATGGAGTAATGTATGTACGTCACTATGTACACCCATACAATAGTATGTCAGTTCAGATCCATTTATGAAAAGGAAAAACTGAGAGAAAAATAACAATGCTTATGGCCGTTTAATTTTACCGCGGTTTGGCCTACAGGATGTGTCACATACGTAAGCGTCCAAGGAACCGGTAAAGCGCATTGTGGAATACGGCCTGAGGAGGAATGGACTCATCCTAGGGTACCTTTCTGCATTCTGATTTGGGCTAGGGTACATCTGTATACAGAAACGTACCTGGGTACATATCTGTAGTACCTGTGCCGACAACAACCCGTTCGGCCTTAATAGTTAGAAGAATGTCAGGCTTTTTAGGGGTTTTTCTTTATGGTATTTATGCATAATGCACCACAAAATTATTTCACCTTTTGTATCTCCAATTCTCTTTTCGTGGCCACTCCCTCTCTAAGGGATAAAGGGAATGATGTTTTCGGGAGGTTAAGTGTTTCAGAATAGCGTTTGCTTTTGGAGCCCTTCTTCGAGCTCTTGTTACTCTTGTTTCGTGAGAAAAGAAGAAAGTTGTAACATGTCAGCTTTGGTTTTGACATGAAATGTCTACACGAGCTACCGATGCAACTTATCATGTTGTTAAAATCTGCAGTAGGCTCTCTAACAGTAAATATCTGCCGTAGCTGAAAAACAACATATGACTTTTATGGGCGCAGCCATGTTTCAATCCCGCAGAAATTGGACGGTGCAATCCCTGCAGAAAATGTAGACTAAACCGCTAAAACTCGTAAATAGAATGTATAAAGCCTCTGACCAAGACAAATCATGTTTCATCAAACATATGTTCAATTAAGATCGTGATATCGTTTTATTTCTCAGTTTGAATAAATAAGTAAGTTCAAAGGTCAAGGTCGCATAAACAAATCAGCTGCTTCCTTCAGGAAAAGATGGGCGGAACTGCAGATAACTCGTTCATGGAGTTTACTCGGAAGATCATGTAACATCTGATCGAAGGACATGTTGTTTTGATAATGTCAGATCAACAGAGAATAGCAAGGATCTTTCCAAACGTGTTATTGTCACATTCAAAGGATATAGCATCAACTGTCAGCTCCAATTTAGGGTACGACAAATATGCAGATCTAGATATCCCGATTACAAGTCTACCCCGACTGAAACCCGCTCTCTCGCCGAGCGTGCAGTTAAGTCTGACAGTCGTATACATATCATTATACGGGTTGCTGTTCTTCGTGGTGTATATCCAGTTATGGATGATTTGGTATTATCGACACAAACGTTTCAGCTACCAGACAGTATTTCTGTTTCTTTGTCTAATATGGTCTGGTTTGAGAACAACTTTATTTTCCTTTTACGTCCAAGACTGCGACCAAGCTAATGACTTGCCTTGGGTTTTCTACTGGTTGTTATATTGCTTTCCTGTCTGCCTACAGTTTACAACGCTGTGTCTGCTGGTTTTGTTTTTTGCACAGGTAAGACTGATGTTTACAAACAAAAAATTATCTATTGCTTAGATCGCACACAAAAATGTTTGTTATCATTTTGTCAAACCATGACATGCATTTGTTAATGGAATGTGGTACACTTATGATAGTAGATAAAATTAGGAATGTAGACATGTGCCACTGTGTCAGCTGTCAGTTTGTAAACATGGTAAAAGTATATACCGGTATGTTGTCATGATCACATGAAGATTATATTTAGTTATATGTTCATGATGTACGTTGACAGCTGGGTTCTGTAAATTATTTCTGCCAAGACTGAAATATATATATCATCAAAATAATCAGCAACTTATTTTGAAATTTTAAACGGACATTCCGTCAAGCTTGCCAAACTCCACGATGACAGTTACATCATGATCATTTGCCATCACACTTTCTTGTGGAAGTATCGTATTTTTGAGTCCTATAAAGCTCTCGAACCCACACGACACCAGTTTGCAGGGACTAGATGAATAGTGTTTTTAAATATTTAACTTAAATACCCACATGTGTAAAAACTAGTGGGTAACAGAAATTTGAATACCCAGATAGAATTAGTGATACCCAATGATTTTAAAATGCATGGCTAAAATACCCACGACACCAAAAGCTTATCTGGAGCTCTGTATATGTATATATATATATATATGATCAAACTCTTTCCTGAATTCATGCAACATATAATAAATGTCATATGTATCAGATATAATGAATATGTATATGACAATGTACATGATGTAAATTGTAATTCAATTCTTGTAGTATCAGGACAATTGACATGATGATATAGTATATTATTAGGCACAAGACAGAAACGAGAGATTATCATGCATACATGAATTGTTGTGTAATTGGATAAACCTCAGATACATAAAGCATGTTTAGTATGTTAATATTGTTTGTTAGCATGTGTAGTTGTTTTTTAGGAAAGGCATCTGGTACTACATGCATATGTTTCCCTAAAGTTTTATAAACATGATAAAATAAATTGTTGCTTAAAAAATGTGTAGCATTATTGCTATGAATATGACCAAGAACATCATGGTTAGAATTGGTCTTTAGCAACCCATGCTTATTGTAAGAGGCGACTATGTTTGTAAGAGGCGACTATGTTTGTAAGAGGTGACCAACAGGATTGGGTGGTCGGACTCCACCAGCACTCAACTCGCCTTCGAGCATGACATCTCTAATATGTCCAGGAACACCTTGTAGCATGACATCTCTAATACGTCCAAGGACACCTTGTAGCATGACATCTCTAATACGTCCAGGAACACCTTGTAGCATGGCATCTGTAATACATCCAAAAACACCTTCTACCATGACATCTCTAATACACCTGGGAACACCTTCTACCATGACATCTCTAATACACCCAGGAACACCATGTACCATGACATCTGTAATACACCAAGGAACACAATGTAGCATGACATCTGTAATACACCCAGGAACACCTTGTACCATGACATCTGTAATACACCCAGGAACACCTTGTACCATGACATCTGTAATACACCAAGGAACACCTCATAGCATGACATCTGTAATACACCCAGGAACACCTTGTACCATGACATCTGTAATACACCCAGGAACACCATGTACCGTGACATCTGTAATACACCCAGGAACACCATGTACCATGACATCTGTAATACACCCAGGAACACCATGTACCATGTCATCTCTAATACACCCAGGAACACCATGTACCACGACATCTCTAATACACCAAGGAACACCATGTACATATACCATGACATCTCTAATACACCCAGGAACACATTTTACCATGACATCTCTAATACACCAAGGAACACCATGTACCATGACATCTCTAATGCACCAAGGAACACCATGTACATATACCATGACATCTCTAATACACCCAGGAACACATTTTACCATGACATCTCTAATACACCAAGGAACACCATGTACATATACCATGACATCTCTAATACACCCAGGAACACATTTTACCATGACATCTCTAATACACCAAGGAACACCATGTACCATGACATCTCTAATACACCAAGGAACACCATGTACCATGACATCTCTAATACACCAAGGAACACCATGGACCATGACATTTTATAACATTCTTTCAAATCTATCAAATGTATATCAAGGGCTCAGTCATATTGGTTTACGATTTTAAAAAAAGACCTTAGCTGAACTTGCATTCACCAAGAATATTTTGATTGGTTGTTGATTTGAAGCTCATTAGCAAGAGAAACTCTGCTAAGCTACGTGGGCATGCCGTGATCGGAGAGATGCATATGGTGACATCACTCCTGAAAAGAAGCCCTTGTAGCAAATGCCTCCAGGGTATATATGAACATGGAATAGAGATATAATACCCTAGATAATCGAGGATGGATCTTGTATCTGAAGCACATTTAGTATTGAACATGTTGAATATTTTAAAAAGATGAATGTAATTTTTGCAGGTTGTTTTCAAGGCCCGGGCAAAGTATGAACCGAGCAAATTCAAGTAAGAAATGTTTGTTCTGCTTCATTTGTTGATAACTCATTAGTAAGAGATTGTTTTGATGGTCTGACTAGATGTTGCATTTACTGCCCTGGTGCATTATCTCTTTGTAATTGGGTGAGGTGAAATGGTGACATTATATCTGTGTCATTAGGTGAGGTGAAATGGTGACATTATGTTTGTGTCATTAGGTGAGGTGAAATGGTGACATTATGTTTGTGTCATTAGGTGAGGTGAAATGGTGACATTATCTCTGTGTCATTAGGTGAGGTGAGGTGGTGACATTATCTCTGTCATTGGGTGAGGTGAGGTCAAATGGTGACATTATCCCTGTGTCATTAGTTGAGGTGAAATGGTAACATTATCCCTGTGTCATTAGGTGAGGTGGTGACATTATCTCTGTGTCATTAGGTGAGGTGAAATGGTGACATTATGTTTGTGTCATTAGGTGAGGTGAAATGGTGACATTATCTCTGTGTCATTAGGTGAGGTGAGGTGGTGACATTATCTCTGTCATTGGGTGAGGTGAGGTCAAATGGTGACATTATCCCTGTGTCATTAGTTGAGGTGAAATGGTGACATTATCCCTGTGTCATTAGGTGAGGTGGTGACATTATCTCTGTGTCATTAGATGAGGTGAAATGGTGACATTATCTCTGTGTCATTAGTTGAGGTGGTGACATTATCTCTGTGTCATTAGGTGAGGTGAAATGGTGACATTATCTCTGTGTCATTAGGTGAGGTGAAATGGTGTCATTATCTCTGTCATTGGGTGAGGTGAGGTGAAATGGTGACATTATCTCTGTGTCATTAGTTGAGGTGGTGACATTATCTCTGTGTCATTAGTTGAGGTGAAATGGTGACATTATCTCTGTGTCATTAGGTGAGGTGAAATGGTGACATTATCTCTGTGTCATTAGGTGAGGTGGTGACATTATCTCTGTGTCATTAGGTGAGGTGAGGTGGTGACATTATCTCTGTGTCATTAGGTGAGGTGGTGACATTATCTCTGTGTCATTAGGTGAGGTGAAATGGTGACATTATCTCTGTGTCATTAGGTGAGGTGAAATGGTGTCATTATCTCTATGTCATTAGGTGAGGTGAAATGGTGTCATTATCTCTGTCATTGGGTGAGGTGAGGTGAAATGGTGACATTATCCCTGTGTCATTAGGTGAGGTGGTGACATTATCTCTGTGTCATTAGGTGAGGTGGTGACATTATCTCTGTGTCATTAGTTGAGGTGAAATGGTGACATTATCTCTGTGTCATTAGGTGAGGTGAAATGGTGACATTATCTCTGTGTCATTAGGTGAGGTGGTGACATTATCTCTGTGTCATTGGGTGAGGTGAGGTGGTGACATTATCTCTGTGTCATTAGGTGAGGTGGTGACATTATCTCTGTGTCATTAGGTGAGGTGAAATGGTGACATTATCTCTGTGTCATTAGGTGAGGTGAAATGGTGTCATTATCTCTGTGTCATTAGGTGAGGTGAAATGGTGTCATTATCTGTGTCATTGGGTGAGGTGAGGTGAAATGGTGACATTATCCCTGTGTCATTAGGTGAGGTGAAATGGTGACATTATCTCTGTGTCATTAGGTGAGGTGAAATGGTGACATTATCTCTGTGTCATTAGGTGAGGTGAAATGGTGTCATTATCTCTGTGTCATTAGGTGAGGTGAAATGGTGTCATTATCTCTGTCATTGGGTGAGGTGAGGTGAAATGGTGACATTATCCCTGTGTCATTTGGTGAGGTGGTGACATTATCTCTGTCATTGGGTGAGGTGAAATGGTGACATTATGTTTGTGTCATTAGGTGAGGTGGTGACATTATCTCTGTGTCATTAGGTGAGGTGAAATGGTGACATTATCTCTGTGTCATTAGGTGAGGTGAAATGGTGTCATTATCTCTGTGTCATTAGGTGAGGTGAAATGGTGTCATTATCTCTGTGTCATTAGGTGAGGTGAAATGGTGTCATTATCTGTGTCATTGGGTGAGGTGAGGTGAAATGGTGACATTATCCCTGTGTCATTAGGTGAGGTGGTGACATTATCTCTGTCATTGGGTGAGGTGAAATGGTGACATTATGTTTGTGTCATTAGGTTAGGTGGTGACATTATCTCTGTGTCATTAGGTGAGGTGAAATGGTGTCATTATCTCTGTCATTGGGTGAGGTGAGGTGAAATGGTGACATTATCCCTGTGTCATTAGGTGAGGTGGTGACATTATCTCTGTCATTGGGTGAGGTGAAATGGTGACATTATGTTTGTGTCATTAGGTGAGGTGGTGACATTATCTCTGTGTCATTAGGTGAGGTGAAATGGTGACATTATCTCTGTGTCATTAGGTGAGGTGAAATGGTGTCATTATCTCTGTGTCATTAGGTGAGGTGAAATGGGGTCATTATCTCTGTCATTGGGTGAGGTGAGGTGAAATGGTGAGATTATGTTTGTGTCATTAGGTGAGGTGGTGACATTATCTCTGTGTCCTTAGGTGAGGTGAAATGGTGACATTATCTCTGTGTCATTAGGTGAGGTGAAATGGTGTCATTATCTGTGTCATTGGGTGAGGTGAGGTGAAATGGTGACATTATCCCTGTGTCATTAGGTGAGGTGGTGACATTATCTCTGTCATTGGGTGAGGTGAAATGGTGAGATTATGTTTGTGTCATTAGGTGAGGTGGTGACATTATCTCTGTGTCATTAGGTGAGGTGAAATGGTGACATTATCTCTGTGTCATTAGGTGAGGTGAAATGGTGTCATTATCTCTGTCATTGGGTGAGGTGAGGTGAAATGGTGACATTATCCCTGTGTCATTAGGTGAGGTGGTGACATTATCTCTGTCAATTGGTGAGGTGAAATGGTGACATTATGTTTGTGTCATTAGGTGAGGTGGTGACATTATCTCTGTGTCATTAGGTGAGGTGAAATGGTGTCATTATCTCTGTGTCATTAGGTGAGGTGAAATGGTGTCATTATCTCTGTCATTGGGTGAGGTGAGGTGAAATGGTGACATTATGTTTGTGTCATTAGGTGAGGTGGTGACATTATCTCTGTGTCATTAGGTGAGGTGAAATGGTGACATTATCTCTGTGTCATTAGGTGAGGTGAAATGGTGTCATTATCTCTGTCATTGGGTGAGGTGAGGTGAAATGGTGACATTATCCCTGTGTCATTAGGTGAGGTGGTGACATTATCTCTGTCATTGGGTGAGGTGAAATGGTGACATTATGTTTGTGTCATTAGGTGAGGTGGTGACATTATCTCTGTGTCATTAGGTGAGGTGAAATGGTGACATTATCTCTGTGTCATTAGGTGAGGTGAAATGGTGTCATTATCTCTGTGTCATTAGGTGAGGTGAAATGGTGTCATTATCTCTGTGTCATTAGGTGAGGTGAAATGGTGTCATTATCTCTGTCATTGGGTGAGGTGAGGTGAAATGGTGACATTATCCCTGTGTCATTAGGTGAGGTGGTGACATTATCTCTGTCATTGGGTGAGGTGAAATGGTGAGATTATGTTTGTGTCATTAGGTGAGGTGGTGACATTATCTCTGTGTCATTAGGTGAGGTGAAATGGTGACATTATCTCTGTGTCATTAGGTGAGGTGAAATGGTGTCATTATCTCTGTCATTGGGTGAGGTGAGGTGAAATGGTGACATTATCCCTGTGTCATTAGGTGAGGTGGTGACATTATCTCTGTCATTGGGTGAGGTGAAATGGTGACATTATGTTTGTGTCATTAGGTGAGGTGGTGACATTATCTCTGTGTCATTAGGTGAGGTGAAATGGTGACATTATCTCTGTGTCATTAGGTGAGGTGAAATGGTGTCATTATCTCTGTGTCATTAGGTGAGGTGAAATGGTGTCATTATCTCTGTGTCATTAGGTGAGGTGAAATGGTGTCATTATCTCTGTGTCATTAGGTGAGGTGAAATGGTGACATTATGTTTGTGTCATTAGGTGAGGTGAAATGGTGACATTATCTCTCTCTGTGTCATTAGGTGAGGTGAAATGGTGACATTATCTCTGTGTCATTAGGTGAGGTGAAATGGTGACATTATCTCTGTATCTTTAGAATAATCATTAGCCATGTTAACGGTTGGATTGATCTATACTACTCCACTCTCGATAGGGATACCTTCACTTTTCCATGATACTTAAAACTAAATGTATATGTGTATTGTATAATCATATGTCAAGTCTACATCTTATAATAGAATGACATATCTGATTATCCCTGTCAAAAGTTGAGTAGTATACACTGTAAAACTGGAGCTAGCAGACAAATTGATGTTTCAATGACCTGTACCAAACTTCCTGCATGTCTGGACTCATCTGTTGGATTTTGTTAAAAACAGGTTTTAATTTGTAGCAAGTTTAAGGAGAATGTTTAGAGTTTCCATGCTGGTTTGAAAAACTGGCAACAACACAAATTGTTAAAATTAAACATGTTTACTTTCAAAAGTGAGACTCTTTGTGGTAGTAAGCTTAACTACAATCTCATATATCATATACTATTAAAACAAAGTTATGATAATAACATTGTTGGTCAAATCATTTTAAAGAAAAACATGGAATGCCTTAAGGTAGAGACTAAAAACACTACGCTCCCTACCTCACACTATAAACTGGTCAGTCTCTAAGGAGTGTAGTCTTGACAACAACAATGCAAGTGATGAATAAAACATTATGTCTAGGTGTTGATTAAGAACCACAACAGGACTAACAGGACTAGATTTATTTGGCCGAAGTAGGTTGAAAACGCAGACCAGATCCAGGTACAATGTAGAGCCCAAAAGTAACACAATAAGAAAATGTATACTTGAATGACTTAAATACAAATTAGCTCAGTTATAAAATTTAAACTAATAAAATATTAAGTTGCAAGTAGACTGTAACTTGTACTGAGCCTACTACCCACCGGGACATACAACGAGAATATACTGAATAGAAAAGGCGGCGGATGGGCCGGGAACACATATAAACATGTTTTCGAAGTAGCATTCAGCTAGCCGATGACACCGAAATTTAAACCATACCGCTAGGGATGATGGGAATAGAATATTTCGTCTCGGCAGCCCGAGATTATGGGTAGAAACCAGGGCACCGTTCCACACCGATCTTAGCGCTATGACTACTGTAAGCCTATGTTAAAGTATGGGAGTTATGATCATCTTAGCGCTAAGATTGCTTTGTGGAACAGGGTCCTGACCTGGAAAAGGCCTAGCAGAAACTTTATAAACAAAGCTATACCCCGAGTGGAACCTTGCAGGCTAAAAAATGAATTAAACAAATAATAAATGCGAACGCCCGTACAAAAACAAGAAAGCCTCACATTGACGCGCGAAATAAACAGACTATACTACTAACGGTATGTGGCGAAACAAAAGGTATTGGGGTTCTTAACCATTTTCAATCTACCGACAGAAAATGTGAAAATTAGTCTGATGGCTCACATGGAAAGTACAGTTAAGCTCACTCATGTGGAACAAAATGGTCTACATGGTGTTATGCATGGAAGTTGGCGAAAATAAGCGAAAAAAATCGCGGTTATAGTGTTCCTCAAGCATTTGTGGTTCTAATGATATAAGTTTTATTACAAAATTCATCACATGAAGTTTGCAGTTACCAATTGAAATTACCCTACTGTTTTGCATCATTTTTTTTAACATTTTCCCTTTCTAAGTCAAGATTACTGTTAATTTTTTTTCAAAAGTACATTAATACAAACATAATGAAAGTATGTTACTATTTGTGTCTTTCTTCATGCAAGCACGGTTATATAGGTCCGTGATGCAAGTTAATACTTTTTTGATATCAAAAAGGGGAAAAAATGTAAAAACAGGCCAAACTGAATTTCTACTCAGAGTTATGGGAATTGAATTGCTGTGTGGCAAGAGGCCATCCTGACTGGTCTAGAAGCTGAATTTTTTAATGGGTCGTAAACCAAATACTGTCATGTCTAATCTAGATGTCGTGGTCTGTGAAACAAAACATCCTGCCATAATTTGTGAAAGATGCCTAATGTTTAGAATGGTTTAAACTTTGTAAGCAGTAGCTGGCTGTTGATTGGATAATAATGTGAGTTATCCTTATTTATTGTTACCTGTTTCATTGTCAGTCAGCTTCTATGGTTGATTACCCTGTCCCATTAGTCATTCACTGGCTTCCAATTATCTTAATCAGCTCTCTGTGTCCATCAATCAATTTACTGTATAAACATTGATGTTAATAAGTATATATACCTATGTTATTTAGCACTATCCATCACTTGCTTGATAAAGATGGTAGGATCTACACCGAAACACGCACTAATTGTAATAAAGAAGTTGTTCATTCATAGAACTTGTCTTACTTCATCACAACATCTTCTAAATGCCACTTAAAGATGTTTTATTGTCATTAAAAAAATACTGGTTTGAATTCTTCACTGACGCTTGTAGTAATCTTCAGTAGTGAGTGAGTGAGTTGAATTTAGTGCTGTTTGAACAGTACTTCGATAATAACACTGTGTGTCAGCTTAAAGAGTGAGGGAAGCTCTGAGTGTTGCTATCACCTGTGATGTCAGCTCCTTCTGTCAGTTCCTTCTGTCAGCTCCTTCTGTCAGCTCCTTCTGTCAGCTCCTGTCAGCTCCTTCTGTCAGCTCCTCCTGGCAGCTCCTTCTGTCAGCTCCTTCTGTCAGCTCCTCCTGTCAGCTCCTTCTGTCAGCTCCTCCTGTCAGCTCCTTCTGTCAGCTCCTTCTGTCAGCTCCTCCTGTCAGCTCCCCCTGTCAGCTCCTTCTGTCAGCTCCTGTCAGCTCCTTCTGTCAGCTCCTTCTGTCAGCTCCTCCTGTCAGATCCTCCTGTCACCTCCTTCTGTCACCTCCTTCTGTCACCTCCTCTTGTCAGCTCCTTCTGTCAGCTCCTTCCATCAGCTCCTCCTGTCAGCTCCTTCCATCAGCTCCTTCTGTCAGCTCCTCCTGTCAGCTCCTCCTGTCAGCTCCTCTTGTCAGCTCCTGTCAGCTCCTCCTGTCAGCTCCTCCTGTCAGCTCCTCCTGTCAGCTCCTCCTGTCAGCTGCTTCTGTCAGCTCCTTCTGTCAGCTCCTCCTGTCAGCTCCTCCTGTCAGCTTCTTCTGTCAGCTCCTTCCATCAGCTCCTCCTGTCAGCTCCTTCCGTCTGCTCCTTTGGTCAGCTCCTCCTGTCAGCTCCTTCTGTCAGCTCCTTCCATCAGCTCCTCCTTTCAGCTCCTTCTGTCTGCTCCTTCTGTCAGCTCCTCCTGTCAGCTCCTTCTGTCAGCTCCTCCTGTCAGCTCCTCCTGTCAGCTCCTTCTGTCAGCTCCTCCAGTCAGCTCCTTCTGTCAGCTCCTTCTGTCAGCTCCTTCTGTCAGCTCCTCTTGTCACCTCCTTCTGTCAGCTCCTCCTGTCAGCTCCTTCTGTCACCTCCTTCTGTCAGTTCCTACTGTCAGCTCCTTCCATCAGCTCCTCCTGTCAGCTCCTTCCGTCTGCTCCTTCTGTCAGCTCCTCCTGTCAGCTCCTTCTGTCAGCTCCTCCTGTCAGGTCCTTCTGTCAGCTCCTCCTGTCAGCTCCTTCTGGCAGCTCCTTCTGTCCGCTCCTTCTGTCAGCTCCTTCTGGCAGCTCCTCCTGTCAGCTCCTTCTGTCAGCTCCTCCTGTCAGCTCCTTCTGGCTCTCCTCCCACAGCAAGCTGACATGCCATGATATAACTGAAATACTGTTTAAAGTGGCATGCCACCCAACTCATGACGATGCGTATTGATAACCCTTTGTTTCCTTTCAGACGTCCCCTTCGTATCCTGGTCTTCCTAGCGATCATTCTGTTTGTTGTGTCCAATATTACATGTGCCATGGTTATCAAATACCATGAGAAGAATTACTTGTCCATTCCACTGGAGCTGATCTACATACGTGTGGCCATCAACGACTCTTTATTTCTTATTTTTGGAATTTTACTTTCGTTCTGTATTTACAAAATGTCAAAAATGTCCTCCTCTTCACTGGTTCTGGAAGCTAAGGTGAGTTGCCTGTTTTTCCCTTTGAATTGTTTTGTGAAGTGTAGGCTGGGTGGTGAACAGGATGGTGTGGTGTAGGCTGGGTGGTGAACAAGATGGTGTGGTGTAGGCTGGGTGGTGAACAGGATGGTGTGGTGTAGGTTGGGTGGTGAACAGGATGGTGTGGTGTGGTGTAGGCTGGGTGGTGAACAGGATGGTGTGGTGTGGGCTGGGTGGTGAACTGGTCCGGGTGGTGTAGGCTGGGTGGTGAACAGGATGGTGTGGTGTAGGCTGGGTGGTGAACAGGATGGTGTGGTGTGGTGTAGGCTGGGTGGTGAACAGGATGGTGTGGTGTGGGCTGGGTGGTGAACAGGATGGTGTGGCGTAGGTTGGGTGGTGAACTGGGTGGTGTGGGTTGGGTGGTGAACAGGGTGGTATGGTCTAGGCTGGGTGGTGAACTAGGCCGTGTAGGCTGGATGGTGTAGGCTGGGTGGTGAACAGGATGGTGTGGTGTAGGTTGGGTGGTGAACAGGATGGTGTGGTGTAGGTTGGGTGGTGAACAGGATGGTGTGGTGTAGGCTGGGTGGTGAACTGGGTGGTGTAGGCTGGGTGGTGAACTGGGTGGTGTAGGCTGGGTGGTGAACTGGGTGGTGTAGGCTGGGTGGTGAACTGGGTGGTGTAGGCTGGGTGGTGAACTGGGTGGTGTAGGCTGGGTGGTGTAGGTTGGGTGGTGAACTGGGTGGTGTAGGTTAGGTGGTGAACTGGGTGGTGTAGGCTGGGTGGTGAACTGGGTGGTACGGTCTAGGCTGGGTGGTGAACAGGGTGGTGTAGGCTGGGTGGTGTAGGTTGGGTGGTGTAGGCTGGGTGGTGTAGGCTGGGTGGTGTAGGCTGGGTGGTGTAGGCTGGGTGGTGAACAGGGTGGTACGGTCTAGGCTGGGTGGTGAACTGGGTTGTGTAGGCGGCGTGGTGAACCAGGCGGTGTGGTATAGGCTGGGTGGTGAACTGGGCCGTGTAGGCTGGGTGGTGAACTGGGCCGTGTAGGCTGGGTGGTGTAGGCTGGGTGGTGAACTGGGCCGTGTAGGCTGGGTGGTGAACTGGGCCGTGTAGGCTGGGTGGTGTAGGCTGGGTGGTGAACAGGGTGGTGTAGGCTGGGTGGTGAACTGGGCTTGTAGGCTGGGTGGTGAACTGGGCCGTGTAGGCTGGGTGGTGTAGGCTGGGTGGTGAACAGGGTGGTATGGTCTAGGCTGGGTGGTGAACTAGGTGCTGTGGTATAGGCTGGGTGGTGAACTGGGCCGTGTAGGCTGGGTGGTGTAGGCTAGGTGGTGAATGTAGGTGTTATATCAGGCAATGTTATATTCTGCCCAAACAGTTTTGATACAACATCAGACAGATGTGACAGTAATGTTCCAATGCCAATTCCCCGTGGAACTGAATGCCTGCTGTCTCTGTCCACAGGGGACTAGTATGTGTCAGGCCATTGCAGCCTGTGTTGTCATCTTGATGCTGTTTACATCCAGAGCTATCTACAACTTTATCTCCATCTACCCTGCCCTCAAGACCAAGGTCCCTGACTTCGGCTATGACTGGGTCAATGTGTCTGATCAGGTTAGTATCTATTTTTGATATAGATTACATTCTAAACCAGGGCATGTTTTAGTAAGACCAAAAATCAACAATTTATGTTTTAGGTTGCTTCCTTGGGACAGATATGGATATATTTTTTTTTACAAAATAGTTACCTTTTTTGCTGAGCTTCCTTGACAATTACTTTTTCTTTTTTATGTTTATTGGCGTTTTTATAATTTTAAATATGATTGTGAAGTTCTATCTGATTTTTGGAAAAATCTTGTTTATGGTCGTTTGGAAAGTATTTTCATATTGGTAAACAAAACAATTGCAAAAATGATGCTTTAACATAAGTTTTGGAAAATGTCAAGGTCAAATTTGAAATGGGTTTGTCAGGTTGCCAGAAACACAAGTTAATTCAGCTCACCTGAACTATCTTGTTATCAGTGGTTATGACAAAATTTCATTTTATTTTTTGTCTGCATATCTTTTTTTTTAAAAATTCCTGGTTGATAGGTGGGGAAAAGAAGAAAAACAAACAGACATTTGTTGATCCTTCAAATTGTTTGCGGGATATGTCACCTTGTGAAAAAAATTCGTCTTTTTCGCTTGTTCTTTTTGCAAAGATTTCTTTCCAAGGTATGAAAAAATAATGTTTATATTTTTTATATTATTTTGGGATCAACAGAATCTGTAAACCAATTAAAAAATGTCTGGCGGAAATGAAACATGTTAAGGTATTAAGAAATTGTCAACAATTTCTTTAAAAAACTGGCTATGTTATGAAAAAACAAAGTTGTATCAGATCAGATCTTTTCCTCTATTTCGATACATCTTTTAAAAACTCGGGCTGTGGGGTTACCTAGTGGTTAAAGCGTTCGCATGCACGCCGAAAACCTGGGTTCGATTCCCAAGATGGGTACAATGTGTGAAGCCCATTTCCGGGGTTCCCCTGCCGTGAGAAGCAGCATAAAACCATACTCACTCACTCACTCACTCACTCATGTTTCCCACTTTTTGATTGGATGGTCAGGGTTGACCTGACAGGACGTCCCATGGAAAAAGATCTAATTTGAAAGTTCTGATTTTTAATGAGATTGCAGTGGTTGCTGTCATATATTTCAATTTCTTGCAGGCCGACTTCAACGATCTGTCCGGGGGATACGAGTACCTGTCTTTCGGGATAGTGTTGTTCGTCTGGGAGGTCCTACCTACGTTTGTTGTTGTGTTGTTTTTTCGAGTCAAAAGAGCCGTCAATGCTGTGGTTTGTAGATTTCATGTTATTTGCTTTTATGACGTGATGTACATGTTTTGTTTTCAAAGGCAAATTTAGACAACAAACAAAGAAATCAATCATTTTTTCCTGTTTCAAATCAAACAAGTCCCCCTTTGCTAGCTCTACTTAAAAACTTTATCAAAGAAACGTGAAACAAAGGATCACTCTGATTAGCAAGATACATTTCATTGCCTTAGATTTGGGGGTCAACCAATCTCATTAAAATCAGATCTAAGTTCTCGCTGCCGCTAAACAAAGATCTGAGGACATCCCATTGTGGGTCACGTCAGAACGACCTTTCGCGAACTTTGACCGACCACTGGATCAAATAACAAGAAGTCAATATCAGTCATTGAGAAAGCAGCTTTCTCGAGCTTTACGACACTTTTTTCAACCTGCCGACTTCCATTTCAGTCTACGTGTGAAAAATATGTCGACACAGTTCTCTATTAACATTTTTAAAACTGAACAAACGAACATTCCGGAATGTCTAATTGTATGGCAGTGCTTCCCACGTACTGTGCAACGCCTCCTCCGTCCAAATGTTTATCCCTCGGAAGTGAGAGACAGACGATAATTTTGACGGAATCAGTCGTACGGGCCATAACTGTCGTTCGAAATAACCCGTCTTAACGTTTTCAAGGTTGCATGATTAGAAAACACATTCCGACTGTCACTTTCATGATCTGGTAAGCAACGCTCTGATTGGTCGGATGAAAGGTCGTTCTGACAAACCCGTAATGGGATGTCCTCAGATCTTTGTTTAGCGATAGTGAGAACTAAGATCTTATTTTCATGAGAATGGGGGTCAACAAACAAATGTAAATTATATTTCTTGGAAATGCAGCTAATATTTACACACTATACCCTGCCTATACTTGCTACAGTGAGTGCCTGAGACGTATGTTTTGATATTTACAGGCTCTGAATGATCTCTCCAGCCACAGCCATAGTTCAAAAGTATTTTTCTTTGATAACCCTCGGCGCTATGACAGTGATGATGATCTGACACGCGAAGATCCACATTCCATCAAGTAAGTTGATTGTCTTCATACAATACACGCTCTCTCTTCCTTTCAGCAAGTTTGACCATGTGCCATTTTTAGATTGTATTTGGTAAAGGACTGGAAATATATAGCAGAGCCTTTATTATTCTCCATTCAGAACTGCCTACGCTGGTTAGAATGTTCACATGACAACTTTGAGAATTTATCAGATCTTTATGGAGAGGGGTGTCGATTTGGAGTAAATGATCTGACTTGAATGATATTATATTTACTGGTCTCTGGTATTCTATTTCTCTAGCTCAAAATGATTATTTCAACCTTGCCATGACAGTCAATGTGAATACATGCACTGACTGACATAGATCGTGGTGTGCACAAAACAACCTTTAGTCGGTTTTGATCATGTTGATGTGTTATGAGGAAACAGATACATTTCCTTTCATTAAAACTGATTGTCCTTAAATATATCCTTGAAAGTCACTGTGTAGTGTTGTGTCAAGTAGCTGCCATGTTTCCATGACCACCAGTCTAGGGGGCTACAGGGTGAAGTCATAGCAGGGTGGGGCAGGATGAGCCAGGGTGTCACAGGGTGGGGCAGGATGGGGCAGGATGAGCCTGGGTGGGATAGGATGGGCCAAGGTGTCACAGGGTGGGGCAGGATGGGCCAGGGTGGGATAGGATGGGCCAAGGTGTCACAGGGTGGGGCAGGATGGGCCAAAGTGTCACAGGGTGGGGCAGGATGGGCCAAGGTGTCAAATGGGTGGGGCAGGATGGGCCAAGGTTTCACAGGGTGGGGCAGGATGGACCAAGGTGTCACAGGGTGGGGCAGGATGGGCCAGGGTGTCACAGAGTGGGGCAGGATGGGCCAAGGTGTCACAGGGTTGGGCAGGATGGGCCAAAGTGTCCCAGGGTGGTGCAGGATGGGCCAAGGTGTCACAGGGTGGGGCAGGATGGGCCAGGGTGTCACAGGGTGGGGCAGGATGGGACAAGGTGTCACAGGGTGGGGCAGGATGGGCCAAGGTTTCACAGGGTGGGGCAGGATGGGCCAGGGTGTCACAGGGTTGGGCAGGATGGGCCAGGATGGGATGGGATGGGGCAGGATGAGCCTGGGTGGGATAGGATGGGCCAAAGTGTCACAGGGTGGGGCAGGATGAGCCAGGGTGTCACAGGGTGGTGCAGGATGAGCCAGGATGGGATGGGATGGGGCAGGATGAGCCTGGGTGGGGCAGGATGGGCCAAAGTGTCACAGGGTTGGGCAGGATGGGCCAAGGTGTCACAGGGTGGGGCAGGATGGGCCAAGGGTGTCACAGGGTGGGGCAGGATGGGCCAAAGAGTCACAGGGTGGGGCAGGATGGCCCAGGGTGTCACAGGGTGGGGCAGGATGAGCCTGGGTGTCACAGGGTGGGGCAGGATGGGCCAAAGTGTCACAGGGTGGGATAGGATTGGCCAAGGTGTCACAGGGTGGGGCAGGATGGGCCAAAGTGTCACAGGGTGGGGCAGGATGGGCCAAGGTTTCACAGGATGGGGCAGGATGAGCCTGGGTGGGATAGGATGGGCCAAGGTGTCACAGGGTGGGGCAGAATGAGCCTGGGTGGGATAGGATGGGCCAAGGTGTCACAGGGTGGGGCAGGATGGGCCAAGGTTTCACAGGGTGGGGCAGGATGGGCCAGGGTGGGATAGGATGGGCCAAGGTGTCACAGGGTTGGGCAGGATGGGCCAGGGTGGGATAGGATGGGCCAAGGTGTCACAGGGTGGGGCAGGATGGGCCACGGTGTCTCCGGGTGGGGCAGGATGAGCCCGGGTGGGATAGGATGGGCCAAAGTGCCACAGGATGGGGCAGGATGGGCCAAGGTTTCACAGGGTGGGGCAGGATTGGCCAGGGTGTCACAGGGTTGGGCAGGATGGGCCAGGATGGGACAGGATCGGCTAAGGTGTCACAGGGTGGGACAGGATCGGCTAAGGTGTCACAGGGTGGGTCAGGATCGGCTAAGGTGTCGCAGGATGGGACAGGATCGGCTAAGGTGTCACAGGGTGGGGCAGGGTGGGACAGGATGGGACAGGATGGGCCAAGGTGTCACAGGATCGGCCAAGGTGTCACAGGATGGGCCAAGGTGTCACAGGATCGGCCAAGGTGTCCCAGGATGGGACAGGATCGGCTAAGGTGTCACAGGGTGGGTCAGGGTGGGACAGGTTTCATGGGGGAGAAGGGGGCAAGATATTTAGCCCACTGGATCCTTGTGTTATTCAGAGGGTTTGTTTACGCTAATTTTTATACATTGTTTGAATTTTGTTTTGTATAGAGCATGTTGATCCATGATCCATTGAATAGAAAGAAGGCTGTTTGACCAACAGTAAAACCCGTTTCTACTTCAGCTACAGTGTACACAACTCCTACAACAGCATGGACACTGGAGGCATCTCCCATGGTACCCCCATCCTCACCCCAAATGGGAGGATCACGCCGCGAGGGGGCACACCGAGAGGCACCCCCAAAACAGCATACGGGTCCATTATGAGTAGAAGTATGCCCTCAAGTCGCCAGGGGGCGTCACCCTCACCGGTCATGTATAACGGACCCCAGTTGTATCAGGGACATAATGGCTGATGATGGTGGGATTGTGATAATGTGATATGACTTGCTGGTGCTGTGATGGACGATCTATATTTTGTCAAAATGGTGGTGAGGGAAAGGAGAGATTTATATGATGCTTTCAGAGAATGTTTGACATGTTTTGTTGACTCAAGGTCGTGAATGTCAAGGTCAAAAGGAATCAATAGTACTTTTCCTGGCTATAGTACCTTGAAAAAGAGAAGTATATGTTTATAACCATGTTTTGATATGCATATTCATTGATATACTGTATTTAACGTAATAAGTGTCCTGGGTGCTTAGAAAAATCTGACATAGGGGGAGTTTATTAAAGTCATCCACAAGGGGTTGTAGTGATCAAATTGATTGCATCTTCCCGAATCAAGGGAGTTAACTGACTATAAAAGTCCAGTTTTCACCCTTGCCGAACTAGGCTGCAATTATCGAGTTACATTTTGGCTGGACTAAGGAGTCTATTCATAGTACAATCAAAATCGCGTAATGAAATTGACAACTGGTTCCTAAACAAAATAGATTTCAAATGCAGATTTTGGTAGACTGCAGGATTTGCAAGGCTTTTCAAAGCAATTGGGTATTGACAGATATTTGCAAATTGTTTCATTTTTTTAATCAAGGTGCTCAAGTGCTCTGATGTACTTTGCGGGGTAAGACCCATTTTGTTACAATATAGATCTTGATTATTGAGCACATCGTCTTGACTGGGAGCCGGCATTTTGTTTAAATCTGATTGGTCAATAGGAGGAACATAGAAGGGGCATAACTTGTAATAGCCACTGGTGGCGCTATGATCGATCCTGGAAATTCCAGCCAAGTTTGGCAAGGGTGAAAACGCCCTTGCGTCAGGAAGATGACTCGGGAAGGTGAAGCTGAGCCTTTTAATAGTTACGAAACAACTGTATTCGCCTTTTGCACTGGTGTTTTCTGTAAAAAAATCTGTGATATGCACAGGAAAATATGGACTGTCGTGTTGATAGTCTTAGGGGCGCTTAAAAAGGTTACTTTCAGATTGGTCCAGAAGTTGGTCAGAGGGCTTATTGAACCAGGGCGCTAAATACGGTGAATATGGTAACTTCATACAGATTGTAATATACTTAATAATTCATTTGTTTGTTGTATCCTCATTAACATAGATGTAACATGACATAACTTCTTATGTATATGGGCGGCCATTCGGTCAAAAAATACAAAGTTGAAAAAAAGGACAAAAGTACGCAATTAAGGTCAAATATTACGAATAAAGAACTAACTGTTACTACTAAAGGTCAAAATACAATATTAAAAGTCAAATGTTACAAAAAGGCGTCATAAGAAAAGAAAGAACATGTGTACGAAAGAACGTCAGTGAGCACGAAAAGGACGTTTTCAATAAAGAACCTAAGTGAGCACGAAAGGACGTTGACAATAAAGAACGTCAGATGGCGCTGCAATTTGTTAAACATTCCGAGTTTAATCGGCTTGTTCCGCCGTGTATATGATAAATGCATGCCGAGGTGCACAATGTATCACGTCATTTCTCGTGCACTCACCGTCTAACGTCACACATATAAATGTGGATGTAAACAAGCGAAATAAATATGGTTTGAAAACGAAAGCTGGCGTCATAGATGAAACTCGATTTTCTTTATTTATGGCGAGCTATTTTTCCTAACGAATGTGTAAGTTATACATATGCATACAAATCCATTTGGTATATTTATTTGTTGTTCAGATATTAGGCAACATTTTGTTCGCACACAGTTTCTGAAAAGCTGTTAAATAAAACAAACTCTCGCACAACGTTCACTTTTCAGATGAAAATGTGCTTCTGAAACAAATCTCGGCATCATAGCACCCTTGTGTTGCACCAAGCATGAACAGTTACTGGATCACTGTAGATGAATCCTAGATTAGCGTTAAGTGAGTGTTTTTTGAAGGTTGTATACAAAATACATGTAACAATGTTAGGCAGATGTTGGATTACACAGTATACTGTATTTATGAAAAGGCCCTTAAGCGGTGACAAAGCTTAACCCAACATGTTTATACACAATGTGTACATTATACATTATAAATACATGTATATATATGTGTGACGTCAGACGGTGAGTGCACGAGGAATGACGTAATACATTGTGCACCTCGGCATGCAGTTATCATATACTATACACAACGTAACAAGCCGATTAAACTCGGAATGTTTTACAAATTGCAGCGCCATCTGGCGTTCTTTATTGTCAACGTCCTTTCGTGCTCACTGACGTTCTTTATTGAAAACGACCTTTCGTGCTCACTGGCGTTCTTTCGTACACATTGTTCTTTCTTTTCTTATGACGCCTTTTCGTAACATTTGACTTTTAATATTGTATTTTGACCTTTAGTAGTAACATTTAGTTCTTTATTCGTAATATTTGACCTTATTTGCGTACTTTTGTCCTTTTTTTCAACCTTGTATTTTTTGACCGAATGGCCGCCCATATATGTAAGGATATTTTTTTTTGAGTTTTGTACAGGGTACAGTTATAAATATTCAGTGTAAATATGACATCAGTAAATCGTGCAGTTTGTAAAGTTTATTCAGATAACTGTTGACATCAATGAAAGTATTTATTTTGGTATCAGATATACAGTGAAACCTTGATAGGACCCCTTGAATCTGGAATCCTTGCTATTAGATATAGTGAAACCTTGATAGGACCCCTTGTATCTGGAATCCTTGCTATTAGATATACAGTGAAACCTTGATAGAACCTCTTGAATCTGGAATCCTTGCTATTAGAAATACAGTGAAACCTTTATAGGACCTCTTGAATCTGGAATCCTTGCTATTAGATATACAGTGAAACCTTGATAGGACCGACCCCTTGTATCTGGAATCCCCGTCTTCTGTATGGTTACTGTCAGGAACTTGTATATTTGCAGGACACATTTTAGTGAAATAGCCATGCTTCCTTGATTTCTTAATCTGAACATTTGTTAATCCATACCATTTCACTGAGAATTATTTTGTCCAGATTAAGGGGGTTGACTGTAGATATTAATGAAAGCTATCTGGAAATCCAAACATATATATATATGTATGCTGAAAATAAAATACATATTGACTTTAAGCTAACCCAGTGGGTATATAGCTGTCTCACCTGTTGAAGAAACATATAGAAATTAAACCTATTGTTTATTGCATGGATCTTGTAAATACAAAAATATTACCAATACTAATGACATGATAGTTTCATATCAAAATAAAAATGAAAAATATCATTGATACTATGACATTAAATTGTGTATACAGACATATTTATTATAAATGCATATTCTCCCAAACAAAAATTAAAATAATATTTATTCTATACTATGACATGAATTTTGTATTAGATTTATATTTATTGTTAATTAAATGTTTTCATAACACATTAACTGTTCAGAAAAGTGTTATCGAAAAATAACTTCCTTGTGTAGAAGATGGTTTTCAGGGCAACATACAAGTAGGTCAGCTTGTGTCTATTTTAAGAAACAGGATGTATCTGCCTGTACACCAGTATTATGCAAACCAACTGTAAGCTAACAGACAAAATAACACTTGCTTGTTTTTTGTGTTATTTGATCGTCCCTTTACATCAAAGTTGAAGTATAGAAATGCGAAATGGAGTTTTGACAAAAAAGGGTGGAATTCTGTGATCTGGAGATTCACCATTAGGGAAAATAATTCACCAAATGAATTAATCCTAGTGTTGTTAAATCTTTAGTGTTCCTGATGACGTATATCATTCCTCAATGTTCAGTTGTTTATGTGCTTCAGAGAGGAGGGGTTTGCAACTCTGCACACACTACAAATTATTTCAATTTGCTTGACTCAGATAAGTTGTAAGTAAAATGAACAAAACATGCCCCTAAGGCCAGGCTTTTTTTATTTTTAGGATTACAGATTTTTCAGCCCAAAGTTTCAGGGTTGGAGAAGGGGAAAAAAGCACACAAAAAAACAGATGCATTTTTTAAAAATGCAGAATGCCTCTGGCATACTTTATGAACATATTCTGTGCACAAAAGACAGCCATTTGTGACGATAAAGCCCCTTGTAACAATAAAAAGTCTACCACTTACAACACAGACAATTTTCAAGGGAGGCTATTCATGTTGGGCTTCGAGATCAACAAAGATTGATTATATATTTCTTTACTTATTTACAACGATAAATCCATGTTTTTTATTAAAAGGTGATGATAACATATAAAATAACTGACTACGTGGCTATTGGCGGGGGAAAAAATTGGAAATCTGATTTAATTTTTTTAATACATTTTCTCAAAAATTAGAGTCGGCGGGTGTGTAATCCAAAAAATATAAACGCATGGCCTAATAGTTTATTTGCTGTACACATAGGAAATGTCTCTTTATGTGTGGGTTTCACATGTACCTTGTGTGACCATGAACTGGAACATTGTTTATTGTTCATGTGTTAAAGCTGCGATGCCTGTTTCTGTACAAATGCTCATATTTGTTGACGATGCTGTTGTTTTGGAGATAATGTCACTAATTTGATCATTCCATAGTTTATTTTATGTTACAGTTGTCTGTAACCATGTATGCCAGGCTAATATTTTTGACAAACAAAACAAGTCTTTTATACATTGTGTTGAACTTGTTAGGTGTTTCTGTGGTTGTTCTGTGGTGCTGTAGGAGCAGATATCAGCATCTACTGGTGGGATTGACTGATATTCGAAACATGTACAAACTACTTCATCATTAGGCTTTTCACACAAACACGCTGTGACAATTGAAGTACTGTTGAAAACTTGTTTCATTCTGAAAGTAACCGCACACAACAAATGATATATGTACAATATTATCTTGCCAAAGCTAAAGTCATAACCAAATTCATCGTTCATTACTGTACTTGACATATTTGATGCCTGTGAAGCTCAAGAAGTTTGAAATTGTTGCCCGTATTTGAGATGACAGCCATAGTCTTCATGCTACATGTACTTTCGATCGTTTGAATAAAGTTTTAATTAATTCAGGACTTTCTGCAAGTTTCAAAGCAATAGCAGTAGATATACTTTATACAAAGAAGGGTTAGCAATAAAAGACATTCTAAACATTAAAAAAATGTGAAAACCAATTTAACAGAGCTGGGTACCCTATACATCAAATGTGGCTGTTACTGGGGATGGTGAATACTCTCCTACATGTTATTTCACAGGTTTATGAAAATATGTCTGCTTTGGAGATGTTCGTAACACTATCTTTTGGTTTGAAAGAACAATATTGTGTCATGTAAACGCGTTTGCTCTATGGATCATTTACCTGAAAACTGTATGTACCGGTAATGGTATCAGGATGCATATGGATTGAGACAAGTAACATGGTATGTTTCATTGTTCACAGAGGTACTTATGTCATGTTTTCTGTTTCTTTTTAGCCGGCCTATGTGTATTTTGTACTGACTGAAGATACAAAATCTTGTAATGTATCCAAAGACTCATGTCTTGAACACACTCATGTAAGACAAGAGTCAATACGGGTAGGGGCGGTCGGGTAGCCTAGTGGTTAAAGCGTTGGCTCGTCATGCCGAAGACCTGGGTTCGATTCCCGACATGGGGACAATGTGTGAAGCCCATTTCTGGTGTCCCCCGCCGTGATATTGCTGGAATATTGCTAAAAGTGGCGTAAAACCATACTCACTCACTCAATACGGGTAACAAAACAGCAAATTAACAGTCTGTCCATGATAAATGGTAAAAATTTAACAAAAGTTTCAAAATATCTTTCATCTTCCTCCTTAACTTCCTGAGTGATTATCTGACCTAAGTGTTTTTTAGCCCAAGGCTACACAGAACACAGTGGCAGGGGGAGGACTGTCATCCTTGCTCTCTAGCAGGTTGCATTACCGTATTATCTTGAGTATAGTGTGCACCCAAGTATAATGCGCACCGCCCTCTAGCGGCTTAAGTAATTTGGAACAAATATTTTTTCGAATAGGCCCTATTATGCGCAGAAAAAAATACACTGCACCCCTTCAGCGAATTCCGGTAAACGATGATAAGAAACTTGGTCAGTATAATTTGAAATTTGAGATAAAAAATCACCAGATATGTTGATTTACCGTTTAAATAGAATTTTTTGTTCTGCTAGGCATTGTTTTACATCCAGGGATTCAGATTACCCACTTCGCCGAAATTAATCAAAACAATATTAAAGGGAATTTTGAATAAAATTAATGAAATAACAAGTCCAGATATATAACATGATA